ATGTGTTAGATATCCAAATTCTTATCACAGAGATGGTGATTTAGTCAACAAAGTCAGCGGAGACTGGAGGGCAACTACAAGTTACAACTGCTTGTGGATCCATTAATTGCCCCCACACAAAGATTTGGTGCTACCAGAAGTGGGAAGAGCTTCCCACCTGTCTGTGACTCCAAAAGGACATGGATTTCTCATAGGTCTTCTGTCATGCCTGCCAGAAACATATGGATGTTTCAGGCACCCTGAAGTATCTCAGTTAGCCTAAGACACCTGCATTTAGGCAAGTGAATGGATCCAAATATACTTTGTTTGCTGCCATGGGAAACATACATTTAGATATCTTAATCTTGAACTAAATCCTGCAGTGTTTTACTGTCAAGAAAAAGACAAATTCTAATTCCAGTTCTGACACTAACATTTACATTAAGGATAATAATGCCAATGTACTGCTTAAATCTCAGAAGAGACCAGTAGAACAGTAGTAGACTGTATTAACTGTTTTTTTGAAAATATTGTGAAGGAATTATTACGCATTCTATTTTTCCACAATATACCCAAAGCAAGAATTTGCATTGATTAATAACATCCTCGTACTACTGATGCCTTTCATAATCTGTATAGGTTTTTCACTTTTCTGGGACAGAAGTGGGTGGTATGGTTTTCACTTTTAAACCCCAAAGGCTTATTTAGCTCCCTCAGGATTATACTTCTAGTTACTCAATTATTTTTTTTTTATTTTGATTTTGAAGATTTTGAGAGACCAATCAACACTTTCTCTGAGCTGCTACTCTGCAGGGAAAATGATCTGGAATGTTATCACTTTCCACCGTTGCTATCAATAATATATCAGGTTGTTTTTTACTCCCATAGTGTCTTCCATGAGGGCTCCTTTTTAATTTATTAATGAATAAGCTTTCACAACTAACGTCTATTTTAAAATATGAAACAAACAAAGAAGTCAAATCTCAAAGTTTATACAGATTCAGGAAAAGATATTTGCACAGAGTCACATCTGTATTGGAAAACACATAGGACATGAACTGTTGAACCAAGAGTGCTTTCTGAATTGTTGAAATAAGAGGCCATTCAGTTTCCTTTTGGCCTAGTGGATGGCTAAGAGTTTTAGAAGGTTAACATTTCCCCTGAATTTATTTTCAGATTACTAATTATTATTGGATCATTTATCAAATTTCTCTCATTCAGTCTTTGTTCATATTTCAAGAAGTAGTGCGTACAACAGCAAGTAAAACAGCAGTTAAAATGCAAGCTGAGTTTAATATCATTCATTTATATCATATATTTCTTTACAACTCAGAAAATTCACCCTCAGATGCCTGGCTTAGCAACAGAAAGGATATTTAGAAATTTTTTTTCTCTGAAGAATCTAAACTTGAATTAAGCTTAAAGTGGAAGCTGTGCTTGGATGCCATAACATGTTCGATAGGTGCAACTATGGAGTACAATGCAGAATGAGTTTACTCCATCAAAAAGGCTGAAATCATGAAAACTACTGAAGTATAACTTCATAGGCAAGAAAAGGAAAAAGGAGAAATTGTGAAGATCAAATACGATACTTATGCTGAGAAAACTATTTTAGAAAATTGAGAAATCTATTTTAGAAACTATATCCTTCTTTCCTAAAGATAATACTGCAGAAAGACTTTCCCCTTAGGAGTTTTTTGAAAGCATGGCTTCCTGTTTAGAAGTTGTATTAGTATGAATGAGCCAAGAAAACCCCAGAAACTCTCTTGATGGAGCTGGTGTTCATTCCCAGAGGCAGGATGTCAAATCAAACTGGCATGTGGCTACAAACAGTGCATCGTTAAACAATATATATAGAGCATGTTTCCCAAAATGACAGCTGTTTCCGTTGCAGCTTAGTGCTTTTTTCAGACTGAGAAGTGCATTAGTCTGGGAGAAATGAGAATCTGTGAATCGCAGCCGGTCTTTGGAACGAGTCGGAACAAACTGTGTCAAGTTTTAGGAAAGGCTTGGTAAACAGGCCTAGGACCTCATGCCACCGTTGCTGCCAGTAGAGGTCAACGTCCATGTAGGTGACATTCCATTCAACCTTTCCTGCTAAGTCCTGCTCCTGATTCATGTACTAACCCCAAGATTACTGGTTTGGATCAGTAAACAGTAGATCAACCTTATCTGTTCTTTAGATCGTAACCATTAAAAAAAATTTGCAAAATCACTTACTCTGTCACAATCTACTAATATACTTAGTTATTTAACTGTTACACAAAATGTATGCATTGAATACCAAATCTGACAACTCATAAAACTGTAGACAAACTGAGGCTGGAAGTTGTTCGGTCCGACACTCTGCACCCTAAAGTGACAGGACCATCTCAGATCAGGTTGCTTAGATCATTGAATACTTTAGATTAGAAGGGGTCTCTGAAGGTCATCTAGTTTAATCCCCCAGCATGAAGCAGAGCCACCTTCATATTAAGGTTCATGGGGCTTCTCAAGTTGAATTTTGGATATGTCCGAGGACAGATATTCCACAGCCTCTTATTTCAATGGTGCCTAACCTCTCTTGTTGTAAAATACTGTTTCTCCTTGTATCTAATTGTGATTTCCCTTTGAAAACTGTGACTGTCATCTTCTGACCATTGGCTGCACATGTTTCAGGCAGGAGAGCCTGCTCTACTTTATATTCGCCCTCTGTAAAGCAGAAGACAAAAAAATGGATCTCCTCTGAGCCATCTCTCCTGAGGGCTAAAGAAAGCCAATTCCCTCATCCTCTCCTTGTACATCATGTGCTCCAGATCCCAAACATCTTGGTAGACTCCTGCTGGTCTTATTCCAGCTTATTAATGCATTTCCTGTACGGGGAAGCCCAAAACTGAAAGCAGTGCTCAGAATGACAAGTCCTGAATAAATGAGATTAATCACTTTTCTTGACCTGCTGGCTGCACTCTTGTATACTTTAATTTAATGTATTTTAATTTAGAGTATTTGGATGAATGCCCATGGGCATGGGTTACTGAGTAAGCATCTCTTCTTTCTAAACTGTAAGATAAAATGCATATTTCAGGTACCTCTGTTTGTATCTGACTGTAATAGAACAAAATCTAGAAATTTAAATTCATGTTATAGTCAAGGATAAACAAGGAACCTTTTCCATTTTGGTTTCTTAGTTTTCTTTCATTTAGAAACATTTCTGAGAATCAATAAATTCCTATCAGTGTATGAAACTAGAAGTTGTCTTTTTTTAGAAAATAACAAATGTTAGAAAAATATTTAATCACAGAAATGTGAGTCTGCAGGAACTGATTATCATCCTGCTCAAACAAGTAAGAGAGATAATATGTAGTATTGAATGCAGGAATACATGAATATAAATTCGAGGCAATTTTCCTCTGTCTTTAAGACTGATGTAAACACTGGACTTTCACAGTGCAGCTAATGTAATTTTTTTTAGTAACATTGTCATGAGAAAATAAGTAAATCTGAATCTGATGTGAAATTAGACAACCTATTATATTTTTTTAAAAAAATTATGATCATGATAGACTGCATTTGAAATATATTTGGCAAAGAAATGACAAAGATTATTAATAATCCCTTAACTTCCACACGGTAATTCAAAAAGCGTCATGAGGCCTTTTTAAAAAAAATAAATAATTACATTCAATGGTCATTATGACCATAATTGTTTTTATGATTCCTTGCATTTAATGAGCTGTAGCTACAATTTGTACTTCCAGCTGTAATCCAGACTTCACCTCTCTGCTACTCACTAATTTGTCTTGCTTTCTCATTTCTTTGGCTAGAACTGCAGGTATTCCACATATATTAGGGTTCACTGTTAACCAAGGAGAGCTGATGCCACCATGGCTGTTCAAATTTCTTTTACAGAGACGACACAAAAATCCTAATTTCCCCATTCACAGTGCGGAATTTCTTACCATATTGTAGCCACATGTCTTTCAAAGTTAATGCAAATACAGCTTAAACATGTGGTGTTGTTGAGACATACACTGATAAACACCCTGTCAATGACATTCTCTATATTCTAGGATTAACTTTGTACTGTGGAAAAACCTGTAAAAGTACACATCTTTGGTTTTTTGTTTATTTGTGTCCTTTTACAGGCACCCAAGCATCATGACCTGTGAATAGTAACTAGACAAGAATTCATTAATAAATACAAAACAAGACAGAGTTCTTTAAGCAATCAGTAGACATACCATATATACCTAGCTGCTTAAGGTGTGCAGTGCAGCTTTTGCTCATTGAAATATATCCAGACAATTGCCTTGGAACTTCTGCCCTGTATACATACAAAGTGAGGCTTAACAACTCAGACCACTGTGCCGTTCAACTACAACTACACAGTTATGAAAGCCCTATCACCTGGCAAGTGGGGACAATCTCTTGTGTGGCTTTGTGGATGTCGCCACAACATTTAGCATGTACTCAATGGTGTCAAAGAAACATAAAGCAAGTTTACAGGACATTCCCCACACTGTGCTGTAAAACCAATTCAGTTGTCAACAATTTAATTTGAGCTGAGAAAAGCTGGGAACATTTTCAGTCCCAACTCACCAGTTATTTTTGTAAAGGTATTGGATGAGATCTTTAACAAAAATGTTCCTAGGGATCTCCAGTTGAATTGAAGAAATGTGTTCACATTAATTTCAATACTCCTACACAGTTGAGTTCAGTTCAGTTTAGCTGGCAAGCTCTCCAGAGGAGAGATTCTGTCAATGAAAACAGGCTTCTGCAATAACAAACTAAAACTGCACTTCCGTTAAGTTTTTGTAGTCCCTAATGGCAATTTGGCTTGTGGCTAGCAAGATACTTATCTTCATTTTCATCATCCGCACGGTTATTTGAACATGAAGATGGCTATCAGTCATGCTCTGTTCTGATACTGGCATTAGGACAACGAACTAAGGAACAAGCTTTTCTATTGTGGTTGCTTTTTCAAAGCTATAACATGTGAATACGTGCATCAAAGGTCTCACTAGTATCATTTCTTGTAACAGGTGGGGAGTATTACCGGACAAAAATGGACAGAAACAGAAGTTCTGGGTAAGTGAATCTTTAGCACTGTGTTTCGAGGCAGAAGAAAAAAAATCTCTACAACGTAGATTGTCTAAGACAAACTCATTTCCTTTCATTCACTCTATCTGCATCTATTTTTCTTCTTCACCTTAACATCTCCTGTATAATTCTCTTACCTTTCTGGAAACTTTTATCATGCTGATCCTACCTCTATTTCAAAGCTTATTCCATCTGATCTCCCACCTGTATCTATGTTTTTTACTACATTGTCTTTTCTATCTCAAATCTTATTAGAATTCTTGAACGTTACTCACCTTTCCCATGAAGACACAGCTCTTTCTGATGTCTGCAAATGAGACTCAATAAAAGTAATCAATATTATTTGTTAAAATATTTGGAAAAGACAAGATATCTATTTAAACAGCGTTGGCAAATGCTATCCAGCTATCAGAAAAAAAAATTAAACATTGGCTTTCAGCCATTTAAAGTAAGTCAGATTTTATCACTTTGATTATCATTAACAGTTCATCTTCTGTATTCAGCAGAATGTAATGTGCAGTTTACATAGCTGATGACAGACCTTATGGCAGATAGTTTCACTGACATCTAGGGCAAAACTTTTACTGACTTCATTAGAAACTGAATTGCTCAGTATGTCAATAGCTACTTGAATTAAACCTAATTTATTAGAAGTCAGCTTATTTGTATCTTAGGTGTCTCTTTAGCAGATTAGTTGTAATTGGAATTTTGACCATTTGTGTTTCAATGACCACTTACTCCAGCCAATAGTTGAATTATCTAATGATTTCTGCTTCAATTTTTCTAACTGCCTTGTAGAAATAGTGTTCGATTTTTGTTAAACCTGGGTTTGGAACTGAAGTGTCGATCAAAACAAAAAGGAGCAAATTATTAGAAATGCAAAAAAGAGGCATTTCGATTCTTAGCACACCAAGTCTGAGAAACTCTGTTTCTTAAAAAGGAAACTAACATAAAAGGTTCATTTTGCATTTTACACCCTGCACTTTTAAATACTACTTTAAAATTAAAATTGGTATTTTTTCCTCTTTGTTTTTTCTTTAGATTGCTGCAAATTCCTGGGGAAAATCTTGGGGAGAAAATGGTTATTTTAGGATTCTACGTGGACAAAATGAGTGTGATATTGAGAAGCTGATTTTAGCTGCTTTGGGAGAGCCGTAGTGTTCTGCTTTAATTGTATTGTACCATACTCTGCTTTATGTATCTGGTCTTTCCATTGTTGCATACTGAGTCTTTCTAGAGAAATAAAAATATCTTCTCTGTAAGTTACCTTTCTTTCTATTATGGCTCATTAGGGCTTCCTGACTTGAACAAACCGCAGCTATCACAGCACTCTCAGATCTCACCTGGTACAAACACTCCTTTATACTAATAGCAAGTTGTATCCAGGACTACTGAAAACCTTGGTGTCTCATAGAGCAAAAAGTTCCCTCCTCTGTTATTTACGTCTCTCCACTATTTTGTTCTATTACTAATGGTTGATTCAACAATGCCTGAGATAAATGGAGCTACATTTACATTGTTAGTATTAATCTCTTTGCTCAGACAGCTCATGGTCATGCTGGATAAAAAATTCCGGAGAAATGTAAGTAGAGTTCTGATCTTGTTGCTGAATAATTATTTCTTATCCTAGCTTAGATAAGTTGTATCTATGTATCATTAATGTCTTCCAGAAGATTAATTTTTTATTCGTAGATCCCACAAAGGCAGTGCATTTAGAGTAATACAGAAATTACTTGCAGTGAAACAACATATTCCTGTTCCCACAACCACAACTGAACATGTACAATTTTAATAATTTGTATCATTAAAGGAAAATAAAGAAAGAAATGTAATTTCTCCTCAGTAAAGTCCAGACTAGACTAATTCCTGAACCAACTTTCCACCCCCTGTTTAACCTGGGAACAGGCATGGAATCATAGAATGGTTAGAGTTGGAAGGGACCTCAAAGATCATCTAGTTCCAACCCCCCTGCCATGGGCAAGGAAACCTTCCACCATACCAGGTTGCCCAAAGCCTCATCCGACCTGGCCTTGAACACTTCCAGGGATGGGGCATCTACAACTTCTCTGGGCAACCTGTTCCACTGCCTCACCACCCTTTGAGTGAAAAACTTCTTCCTTATATCTAATCGAAATCTCCCCTCTTTCAGTTTAAATCCATTGCCTCTTGTCCTATCACTACAGGCCCTTGTAAAAAGTCCCTCTCCAGCTTTCCTGAAGGCCCCTTGAAGTACTGGACGGCTGCAATAAGATCAGCCCGGAGCCTTCTCTTCTCCAGGCTGAACAGCCCCAACTCTCTCAGCCTGTCTTCATAGCAGAGGTGCTCCAGCCCTCGGATCATCTTTGTGGCCCTCCTCTGGACCTGCTCCAGTAGCTCCATGTCCTTCTTGTGTTGGGGACTCCAGAGCTGAACACAGTATTCCAGGTGGGGTCTCACGAAAGCAGAGTAGAGGGGCAGAATCACCTCCCTCAACCTGCTGGCCACGCTCCAATGGTGGCATGTGCCACCATTCCCAATGAATAGAGATGGAAAAGACATTCTGCTGTTTGTCTCCACTAACATATCTGTAGCCCAGGCACAGTTCTTGTGCAGAACTTTTCACGGCAGTGGTATACAACAGATGTCCTTGCCACTGAAATAATCTCTCTTAAACTAAACTCGGGTCACAATTTATGTTGCATCACTACTGAAACAGCTATTATTAAAATGTTAGGATCATACTGCTGCACAACAAGCTCTTCTGTGGCCTCTAGTGTCATACAATAAACTGAATTTAGACATAATCTAAAATTGCTTTATCACTCGAAATTTATAGCAAATTGTAACACAAGCAATTTTAGAAGAGCTAAGTGCTCTGAGAGAAGTAACTTTTCTAGGTTTAGTAAGCTAAACCAGTACTTGAGAGGAAAGTGGACTGAGCCATCTACAGAGCTACTTCCCAAACTCTCAGTATATATTGATTCCATAAGCATCAAGATTTCAAAAGAGTAGAATTTAGCTCTGAAGTGAATGATACTGTAAAAACATATCCTGTCAACTCTGGTTTGTTTTTTTTTTCATTCAACATCAAGTTGGTTTGCATTGCTGTAGCTCTTACTTTTGTCAATGATTGTTGCTGCTCCTGATTTGCTTGCAAGATCTTTCTGAGATCTGAGCAGACATGTTTAGTTTCTTCAGTGATGAGAAAGCTCAAAACTACTCTTCCAGATCTTTACCTGATCTAATCATCATTTTGGCTTGAACAAAACACCATATGCAGGTGAAACAAATCCAACTGCATCAAAGCAATTTAATGATTTGCAAAGTGATTTTACTCTACCCACCTTCTAGGGTTAACCTTTGGTGCTCCGAGTGATATATGTGCTCAGCATCACCTCCATATCTCCTCAGTATCATAAATCTGTTGTCTGTGGGAATGCCACAGTACCCAGAATTTAACAGGTAGGCAAATGTGTCTGCATGTGGAAGCCAATTTGCTGTTTGAAAACAACCTTGATGCTGAGGCAGCTATTCTGCTGCTATTCAGAGGACAGGTAAAGGCTCTCCTGCCAGTGCAGGTCTTCTCAATCACAGTGATCAAGAGACAGAGGGGCCTGGGAGCCACCAGTGGCTCTGCCTCACATAGATCACCTGGAGACAGATTTTAAATGTCAGAAAGGCTTTGAGCTCTTCTAGTCCACCGTTTGGCAGGAGTATGGGGAAACTTGCTCTACATTAAGATGCCACCTCTCTCATTTATCTTTTTTTTTTGGCCTCTCCATCACTCAGCCATGCCAGCTAGCTTGGGCTAAAAGTGTCATCTAGCCTAGAGCTCTTTCTTGTATAGAAAGGAACAATATATGACTCATGTTAATACAATAGACAGCTCATCAGCTTTAAATCATTACTATCACTAATCACCTGTGGGAACTGTAGAAAAGGGTGGTACCAGGAAGGGAGAGTGATGCAAGAATAGCCTTTGTGTTTGTGACATGGTACAAATTTCATTTTCCCTAAAAATAGGAAGGTAACATTTTTATGGCAAGCAAAAAAATAAATCCCCAGTCAGGTTGCACATTACAATATTTCTTGTTAACATCATGCTTAATAAAGTTTTGATTAGTTGTCAGTCTAACTGTGAAACTTTAAAACTGGGTATAGAAACAGCTAGAAGAATGCATGTCTTGGGACCTGCTACCTCACAGTATTCATAACTAATGGAAAGCTCCCGGTCTAAATTCCTGTATATTTAGAAACAGTTTCAGATAGAACTCTGAACAGAAATACCTATGAACTTTGGGAGAGTTTGAAATTTCCCAAAAGTAACTGAGCAGAACAGAATCATTTTTCAATTTATATTGATCATCTTTCAGGGCTTTCCACAACCAGATCCTAAATGTTTCTGACTGTATCTAATAGGTGAACACTGTTAATGCCCTTTGAGGTGGTTTTAAGTGGAAATTTTAGAATTAAAACAGCTAACAAGCCAATAAAGGAACCTAGCTATTTTCACTCTATTGTTACCTTTCTTCCCATCTTACTGTTGTAGAAACATCACCCATGTGCTAAATGATGATAAATCACTCCCGGAAGATTGTCTTCCTATTCCATGGAAAGCACTATCAAGTCTGGTAATATTCTATGAATGAATCTTTTTATTTGCCTTCAGGTGCCCTGCAAGCGCTGAGTTCCTGAAGGCGATTGCTCTGAGGAGTTTGTCATGCACAGACACGTGTGTCGCAGGGACCTGCCTCTACGCCCAACTTCAGTCAGAGATTTTGGTGGAGCTGAGAGGCACGGAAGAGTTTGCTCATCATCATTAGGAAGTCCGAAAATCGATGACACTTGCAGTAATAGGGATTTGCATTTCATGCTACTATGTCAGAATCATGCATGATGAAAATGCTTTTACAGGGCCATACAATAGCATTAAAGCACAGTAGGTGCATACTTCTGCTAAAATTAATTGAGAAAAGAGAAGCATTTGAACATCTCCCCTAGTAAGGACAATTGCTAGAGAGCAAAAATCTGAAGGCAGCCAGGCTGTAAAATGAGATTGGAGTAGAGGGAAAGGTTTTTCCTTCATGGTATTTAAACACTTCAAAATTATGGGAGAAGTAGGGCATATGGACATCCTCCTGAATGCCATCTTCAGAGAACTGAGAGGCCCCTGTGCCAGCACGGTGTTGTCGCTACTCTACCTCTAGCTGGGGGATGTAATCTGTAGCTTGGATTTTACCTGTCTGCTGTTTACAGCCTGTACCTTTCCCTCGAGACGCTGAGGTTAGGCAAAAGAGAAGGTTTCTAAGGTGGTCACTTTGTCCTGGAAAATCCTTCTAGGAGAGCTTCACCTGGGCATGTTGTGCTTGGAGAGGCTTCTGGGCTTTGAGCTGTCAGTCAACATTGGGACTCAGAGCTGCACAGCTTTATGCATAGCTTAGTACAACAAGTGCTGTGTTATGGGGGAATGTAACCTAAAGCAAGCAGAAAGGGAAATCCAAGGGACATAAGAAACGTGCATCTAGAGTGGGGACTAGACAAGCCTGAGAGCAGTGACAGAGGGGCTGTTTTCCTGTTGTTCCAGGGATCAAGGAAAGTTGCAAGACTAAGAGCAAGGCTGAGGAAAAGAAGTTACACTTCTAGGAACCAGAGATAGAGGAGAGTTTGCTTGTAAGTCCTTTCAGCTTAATGTTTTACTAGAGACATGACGAGATCTTGCATCTGGGCATTTAATGCTGCACCTGCCATTTGGTGATCATTTCCTACGTGAACAACTGCCTTGCATTTTAGCACTCATTCCTCACTGCAAGGATTAAATCTTTGGCAGGATAGAGACTGTGTCTTTGAGTTAACAGCAAATCGTGAGTAACACTGCTTTATTCCGAAGGGTTCCTATATCCCTTCAGCCAAGATATACCCATATCCAATTACCACATTTATTTCCAGACAGATTCAAGGTGGGGACTCCCTGCTGCTGGAATTTTCTTCATCTTTTACCCCTGGCCCCACATGTTCAGCAGTCACTCAGAGCCAAGGAGGGTGGCAGATGTCAGTGAGCAAGGGCTGTGTAGCATGAACTTCTGCTTCATACGGCAGCAAGTTGTTGTTAAGGGATATTAAAGGCAGAATGAATGCAGTAGAAAGAATAAAATTCTGCTTTTCTTTATAACAGTGTAGCTGTTAAACATGCATACCATATTACTTACATCAGTGAATGTCATTACTTCATCTATAACGCTTTATCTCTGTCTGGAAATCTTGATCACGGAGCAGCATCCC